CCCAATGTGCACGTGGAGGTTGCCGTTCGGATTTTGCACATCGTGTGGCCCTGAAGAGGGCCAGTGGTGTATTCATATCGAACATACTGGGATATGATGGGAAGAAGGCTGCGTGACTTGTAAGACCACACGATGTGCAAAATCCGAACGGCAACCTCCACGTGCACATTGGGTTACGCTGATGTCGACGGTAATGAACGAAAATACAAGGGTTACTTCAAAAAACTGTAACTTGGCGAATAAAAATCGCAGTAACTTCTTCTTTTTTTTAAATTGAAGGGAAAAGTACACACTTTTTGATACTTCGAGCAGAATTAGCGAGGAAAAATTTCCTACGCCCGGGTACCTGGCCAAAGTTGGTTAGTTTTTAGGTAAAAACATGTCCTTACATTTTAAAAGCTACAGCAGCGCAGATGCATTCGAGGAAAAATCTGGTGACTAGTTTTGAAGCTGAGAGTGCAAGCTTTAATTAAAAAAAACCGATCTTGCTACGATGATTTTTAACGGAGATATCGTCGGTAATGTCGAAAACACAAGGGTTATTTCAATGAGCTGTGATTTGGCGAAAAAAAATCGTAGGAACTTCTTTTTTTAAATTGAAGAGAAAGGTATACACTTTTTGATACCGTAAGCAGAACTGGCGAAGAAAAATTACTACACTCCGCACAGTGCGTCAAAGTGTGCAATTTTGTAATGAAAAAACATGGTCATGATTTTGAGAAAGTTCCGGGAAATGGGAAGAGTGAATGCAAATCCCAATAAGAGCTTCTTAAAGCAGAGGCTTTGCCCTATAAAATGAAAAAAACTTTTCAATTCGACCAGTTTTCGCGAAGTTACGCTTATTTGAAATTCACCAAATTTTGATGTAAATTTCTTGTTGCGTTATTTTTTTTGATCAGTGTATATTTATATTTTATATTAATATTAAGAGACTTTTTAAATATATATACGTTAAAAAACGGTAATTTATATTACATAGGGTGCTCCGCAACTTTTTACCGCCGTTCACTGAAAGATAGAGGGGACGAAGCCAAACAGAAAAGTCCTCTACCATTTTGCACTTGGAGGAATAGTTATCGAGATATTGACGTTCAAAAATCGCCGTATTAGCCCAACCTACTGGCAAATGTAAGCGCGCGGTGAGATGCGCCCGCCCATCGGCTGCCGCTCGGATCGGTGCGCGTCAAGAAGTACAGAGGCGCGATGTCGCGTGCGAGCGGTTGTGTAAGCGGTGGACGGACAGCAGCGCGCCTCCCTATTCCCCGCCGCGCACCGCCTCAAGCGGCGGCCGATGAACAGGCAGATCTCATCGCGTGCTTACATTTGCCAGTAGGTTGGGCTAATACGGCGATTTTTGAACGTCAATATCTCGATAACTATTCCTCCAAGTGCAAAATGGAAAGGCCTTTTCTGTTTGGCTTAGTCCCCTCTATCTTCCCGTAAACGGCGGTTAAAAAGTTGCGGAGCACCCTGTATAATATAAATTATCGGTGCATATTTAAAAAGTCTCTTAATATTTAATATAAAAAGGATTAAAGACATTTTTATCACATAATAAACTTCATCGATTGAGTTTTTATCTACTTATTTCTTAGTTAAATATGACAGTCGTGCCTACTCTCAATTCGTTCAGGTATACATGTATATGTATATGTATACCTGATATATGTAGAATACCACTGTCTCGCTGCCCGTGTCGTGGGCACGTACACTTGATGTGTCTCTTGATAGATTTATTATTAATACGTAATTTCGATTCAACCTTCACATTATTACACGAAACCGAAAACTTACTTGGAACAGATTGAAGCTAAAGCAAAGTACCAAACATCCTATCATCATGAATATCATAACCTCGAATGTGGATAGAAAATTTAGGCATAATCTTCAAAAACAAAAATATATTACTAAATATATTGCACATATATTATTGGTACAGATACAAACTTCATAGCTTGCTGATGAGTATCCACAGCACAAATTATACCTTCAATCATCCAAATCTTGTTTTTTAGTGTAAAATTTTGTAAAATATCGATATTTATTGCACGCTCGATACGATAGCTATAAATATTTACATTTTAATTACATAGCAACTCTCGATGTTTAAATTAAACAATTTTTCTACTAAAAATACATTTTGACACAAACTTTTTTTAAATAGAGTATGTTGTATAAAAATGTAACAAATTGTATATAACAAGGTATATGTATAACGGTTATTTAAAATATTAAAATCTTATTTCTATGATTATACTCGTACCTAGCAATTCTCAACATTCCACAGATATGCTTAAAATATGTAATGAGCATAATACCTATTCCCAACAATGTAATTATTCCGATGTAAATTACTGCGTTGATGTGCAACAGAATCAAATAAAAATACTTTCGCTGATCAATGAAATATTCCATAATGATTAAATAATATGGATCAGATGAATTCACTTGTAAATCAACATTATTTATATTGAACCAAATTTGAACTATAATAACACTACATATTGAGCAAATTCCAATTGCTAAAAGTCATAAAAAGATTTGTTCTTTAAACTCTTAATACATAAAATCGTTTTACGTATACCGTACGCACGTATTAAAAAATAATTTTTAATCTTATTTAAATCCAATTTTACTAAAAATTGTTCACTAACTTCCTATTTTATTTTATTATTAAACATATTTTCAATTTATTGCAAATGCACACACGTGATAAGTGCTTCAGACCCATATAATAAATTATATATAAGTATATGTATAAAAGTATTATAATATAATAAAATAAATTTCTCTCCACTTGATAGCTTATTGTCAGATATTAAATTGAAAATATAATTACATACAAAAATTAATAAATATTGTCTTACTCATAATTAAAACTGTGTAAAGTTTTGTACTATGACTATATTTTTCTATAATAGCAATTTCGTTTTTGTCCCTCAGTTTGTTAAGTATATGTTGAAGCTCCATTATTAAATTTTTCATCTGTTAATTTATCAACTTTTTATACTCTCTTTGTATATAGCAAAAAACTTTCTGCTATAAACATTTATTTGATAGAAGGGTTAATCCTATTTAATGGATACCCTGTAAGCCATCAACTTACAACTTCATTGTTAAGACGGAATCCATTATACTCTATTATGACTATCATAAAGAAAAATACGGAAGACAACACTTTGATAACAAGATTCCAAGTACAATTTAATGTTATTAATGGTGTCAGCTATAAATTAATAATAATCTTATTTAATTTTGCATATACAAAGATGATAAAAATAATGATATCTACAAAAAATAAATTACATAATTGCCATTGATATATGTCAAATATGTCATTTTTTAATAACTATACTCTAGCTTTACCTGAAATATAATACCTGTTAATAGAATAGCAGAGAAAAAGATAAATTGAAATTGAATACACTTGGATTGTCGGGAAGGCCATAAGCCAACAATAAGTAATAAGATTCTACATAGATTATAATTCTGTCCTAGAGATATCATCTTTCTATGAGCTTCAAAATATTACTGCGAAAATTGAACATCGACGGAGTTTGCATACCCCACTTTTCCTACAGGTTGATTTAATATTCCACATCTTTGTTTTTTTTAATTTCAAGATAAAAGCCTAACTTATAGTGCTTGTAATATATTATATTGTGCAAAAATTTGCTATTAGACTCAAACGCGCACAATTTGATGAGAATTTAATCAAATATTTATGCGATCGATTTGATGATAAAGGCAATTGGACAGATGTATTTTTCTCATGAAACTGAATTACTTGCAGGAAAACCACGCAGGCGCACTTCCTTTTTACAGCGCTAGAACTTCATTCTAGTGTACATACGCACTCATAAGAAACATTTGGTTCCCGTGAAGGATGTCTTTTAGCTTTTATTTTTGAAACCAAGTATATCTGATATCTAAAACTCATAAAAATAATTTCGTTACGTAAGTACATGTTTAAAATTTAAATTTGCAATCGGCGCAATTAATATTTTTAACTAATGCTTAATAGTAATGCGTTAACTCACTGTTAGCTATTTAGTTATTTATAATTATTTATTATTGGAAAAACTTTCTTTTTATTTCTTAATTTTTGTAATATGTTATTTATTAACATAAACTATGTACACTTAAATAGTTATGTAAGTGTTAATGTAAAATTAATTAATTAAGCACAAATTCGAAGGAATAAGGTACGAAAGAGACATGACAGGATGTTAGTGTCTAAGTAATTCTTATTTTAAATTTATTGCGAAGATATTACCTCAGCCAGGGTTTGAACTTGACCCTCTCTATTCTCTAGATAGGCATCTCATCAATTTGACGACTGTGATAAATTTTAGTATAGATGGTAAATTAATTAAGAATAAAGTAATCTGTTATTACCAAATTGCGCATGGAGAAAATCTTATATAAAGACAATGGAAAATATTTAATGATACGCTGTGTATACATATATGTTTATACATTATATAGGTTTATACCTCAGTTAATATAATAACCGATTTCAATACATTAGAAAAACTTGAGGTGTGTATTAATAAATCTCCTCTCTTAATAGAGAGAAACATTTATTTACATTATACGTTCAAAGAGTCTATCAATTTATTTCCTATGCATAAATACATTTGTTTATTTAATTATGTCCTCACCATGGTGTTATTAAATTGAACGTGTAGAACATATGACGGTAAAATAAGATACCGAAGCCTTTATTAGCTGTAGTTATAAATATTTTTTATTATTGTATCACTGTATACTATTTTGAAATATTTTAGAAAATATTACCATGGCAAAAGTTTCTATAGATGCGTCCAATACTCCACAGACATTTAAAGTAAATTCTTTGGATCCTCTTTGTAATAAGAACAGTAACATTTTTTGTATGTGTAACGGAGCTCTATACCACTGAACGTTGTAGCTACGAAATTATACATATATATGTAGATAGGGAATTGCTAACTTGAAATAAGAACTTTTCATTCATTCTTTTTAACACATAGTATATTATATATATTAGTTCAATATGTAACAGAGCACACGCACACGCGCACACACACATTTTAACATGTCGCATTCGCTGAAACAAGAAATGTTTCCATATCATCTGTTATATTCTAAGAATATACAGGATGTCTTTTTAATCTTAACAGGCAAATATTTCGAAAATATGCAATTTCATATTTGCATATTTTCGAAATATTTGCCTGTTAAGATTAAAAAGATACCCTATATAATAGAATCTATTATATTCTACGAATGTTCATAAGAGTGTTTCTCTTACACAGTATCGAATATATGATTATTATTGTTGGTTATGCTCTGTCCGACAAGGTTAGTTATAAATAGGTATAACATACTTATTACTGTATATACAGCCGGCAGTAAAAATTCATTGTTCGTAGATACTGCTATCTGGAAAAGCTAAGAAATTTTCTGGACATTATCAGTCTCCTACGATTACGTAAGACTTTTTAATTATTAATATAAATAATACACCAAATTTTCCTTTTTTGCACAGTTAAGATTGTACAAATAATTTATACAAGTTATTTATACAAAAATGGATATTTGTTATAAACTATTGATATAACATAAACCAACACGTCATGTATTGATATAAGTACAGAGCATCTCATTTTAATTGTCTCAGGCAAATATTTCGAAAAATACGAACAATTATTTCAGACAAAAGTTGTAGAATATGAAAGAGGACAGATAACATGTGTTTCATTTTGTGATTATCTTAAAAATCCCTGCCAAGGTTAACTATAAATTATCAAATGACAACCCATACTTTTTGTTGCACATTATTGCATCTACCATGTTTTCGAGATATTTACCTGAAATTAAAGTTATGGACATACTGTACATGAGAATTGTTCCCAGAACATACGGATACTTGGTGTACTGTTTATTACCTTTCTTTAAATGATATATAATTTTTATGTTAATTGTTTAAACAAAATTCTAATTTAATTCATATTTCTCATGTTTTATTGAACATATAACTTTTAGAAACATTTACTTGTTTTAATTTAATTCTTGTAACTGTCTGATTCTCTGTACCCTTTTTTGAATAGTTTTTGACTGCATATTTGCATTAGTTTTTCTAATTGTTGATACCGATATTACACACACCTACGACATGTACACATCTACGGTTGTACACCTATATACGTATATTTATACTTACACATACATATATTTATATTTTATATTAATATTAAGAGACTTTTTAAATATATATACGTTAAAAACCGGTAATTTATATTACATAGGGTGCTCCGCAACTTTTTACCGCCGTTCACTGAAAGATAGAGGGGACGAAGCCAAACAGAAAAGTCCTCTACCATTTTGCACTTGGAGGAATAGTTATCGAGATATTGATGTTCAAAAATCGCCGTATTAGCCCAACCTACTGGCAAATGTAAGCGCGTGGTGAGATGCGCTCGCCCATCGGCTGCCGCTCGGATCGGTGCGCGTCAAGAAGTACAGAGGCGCGATGTCGCGTGCGAGCGGTTGTGTAAGCGGTGGACGGACAGCAGCGCGCCTCCCTAGTCCCCGCCGCGCACCGCCTCAAGCGGCGGCCGATGAACAGGCAGATCTCATCGCGTGCTTACATTTGCCAGTAGGTTGGGCTAATACGGCGACTTTTGAACTTCAATATCTCAATAACTATTCCTCCAAGTGCAAAATGGTAGAGGACTTTTCTGTTTGGCTTAGTCCCCTCTATCTTCCCGTGAACAGCGGTTAAAAAGTTGCGGAGCACCCTGTATAATATAAATTATCGGTGTATATTTAAAAGTATATTTAAAAAGTCTCTTAATATTTAATATAAAAAGGATTAAAGACATTTTTATCACATAATAAACTTCATTGAGTTTTTATCTGCTTATTTCTTAGTTAAATATGACAGTCGTGCCTACTCTCAATTCGTTCAGGTATACATGTATATGTATATGTATACCTGATATATGTAGAATACACTGTCTCGCTGCCCGTGTCGTGGGCACGTACACTTGATGTGTCTCTTGATAGATTTATTATTAATACGTAATTTCGATTCAACCTTCACATTATTACACGAAACCGAAAACTTACTTGGAACAGATTGAAGCTAAAGCAAAGTACCAAACATCCTATCACCATGAATATCATAACCTCGAATGTGGATAGAAAATTTAGGCATAATCTTCAAAAACAAAAATATATTACTAAATATATTGCACAAATATTATTGGTACAGATACAAACTTCATAGCTTGCCGATGAGTATCCACAGCACAAATTATACCTTCAATCATCCAAATCTTGTTTTTTAGCGTAAAATTTGTTAAAATATCGATATTTATTGCACGCTCGATACGATAGCTATAAATATTTACATTTTAATTACATAGCAACTCTCAATGTTTAAATTAAACAATTTTTCTACTAAAAATACATTTTGACACAAACTTTTTTAAAATAGAGTATGTTGTATAAAAATGTAACAAATTGTATATAACAAGGTATATGTATAACGGTTATTTAAAATATTAAAATCTTATTTCTATGATCATACTCGTACCTAGCAATTCTCAACATTCCACAGATATGCTTAAAATATGTAATGAGCATAATACCTATTCCCAACATTGTAATTAATCCGATGTAAATTACTGCGTTGATGTGCAACAGAATCAAACAAAAATACTTTCGCTGATCAATGAAATATTCCATAATGATTAAATAATATGGATCAGATGAATTCACTTGTAAATCAACATTATTTATATTGAACCAAATTTGAACTATAATAACACTACATATTGACCAAATTCCAATTGCTAAAAGTCATAAAAAGATTTGTTCTTTAAACTCTTAATACATAAAATCGTTTTACGTATACCGTACGCACGTATTAAAAAATAATTTTTAATCTTATTTAAATCCAATTTTACTAAAAATTGTTCACTAACTTCCTATTTTATTTTATTATTAAACATATTTTCAATTTATTGCAAATGCACACACGTGATAAGTGCTTCAGACCCATATAATAAATTATATATAAGTATATGTATAAAAGTATTATAATATAATAAAATAAATTTCTCTCCACTTGATAGCTTATTGTCAGATATTAAATTGAAAATATAATTACATACAAAAATTAATAAATATTGTCTTACTCATAATTAAAACTGTGTAAAGTTTTATACTATGACTATATTTTTCTATAATAGCAATTTCGTTTTTGTCCCTCAGTTTGTTAAGTATATGTTGAAGCTCCATCATTAAATTTTTCATCTGTTAATTTATCAACTTTTTATCTTTACTATCTTTGTATATAGCAAAAAACTTTCTGCTATAAACATTTATTTGATAGAAGGGTTAATCCTATTTAATGGATACCCTGTAAGCCATCAACTTACAACTTCATTGTTAAGACGGAATCCATTATACTCTATTATGACTATCATAAAGAAAAATACGGAAGACAACACTTTGATAACAAGATTCCAAGTACAATTTAATGTTATTAATGGTGTCAGCTATAAATTAATAATAATCTTATTTAATTTTGCATATACAAAGATGATAAAAATAATGATATCTACAAAAAATAAATTACATAATTGCCATTGATATATGTCAAATATGTCATTTTTTAATAACTATACTCTAGCTTTACCTGAAATATAATACCTGTTAATAGAATAGCAGAGAAAAAGATAAATTGAAATTGAATACACTTGGATTGTCGGGAAGGCCATAAGCCAACAATAAGTAATAAGATTCTATATAGATTATAATTCTGTCCTAGAGGTATCATCTTTCTATGAGCTTCAAAATATTACTGCGAAAATTGAACATCGACGGAGTTTGCTTACCCCACTTTTCCTACAGGTTGATTTAATATTCCACATCTTTGTTTTTTTTAATTTCAAGATAAAAGCCTAACTTATAGTGCTTGTAATATATTGTGCAAAAATTTGCTATTAGACTCAAACGCGCACAATTTGATGAGAATTTAATCAAATATTTATGCGATCGATTTGATGATAAAGGCAATTGGACAGATGTATTTTTCTCATGAAACTGAATTACTTGCAGGAAAACCACGCAGGCGCACTTTCTTTTTCTCAATGCCAGAACTTTATTCTAGTGCACGCACTCATAAGGTACGCTTGGTTCTCGAAAGGGATTTTAGTTTTTATTTGTTCGACAACGGATCTATCTGCTAAAACTCATAAAACTGATGCCCTTTAATAAGTACATTTTTAAGTTTTAATCAATATATATATATATTGCAATCGGCAGAAATCATATTTTTAATAAATGTAAAATATAAATGTGTTAGCTATCTTAATAATTGCCTATTCAGTATTGAATGTGATATAATTATATCACGTTCAGTACTGACAATATTTCTTCCTTTACATTTTTCAACATATGTGCGATTGATTAACTAAACCTATACCAAAATAAAAAAAATTTTTTTACAAAAAAACTGTTAAACATTTATAGAAATGTTAATATGCAAAATTAATTAATTAAGAACAAAATATAATGCAACGCATGCGTTGCATTATATTTTGTTCAAAAAATTATACCTGGAAAAATTCTTACATAAAGACAATGGATAACATTTGATTATGCATTGTTTATATGTAAACTATAGATGGTACAATCAATTTCTAAGCATTGAAAAAACTTTAAGTACCAATACATATTGTAATTTTTCTTTTGGCAGAGAAATATTTATTTACATTATATATTTAAAGAATATATTTATATTCTAAGAGTATATACATTCCTCTGTTTAACTATGTCTTCACCATGGAGTTACTAAATTCATCATCGTACAGAATATATGACAGTAAAATAAGTTACAGAAGCTTTCACTAGCTGGAAATTAGGAAAATTCTCTTGTATTATATCCACATATGAGCTACTATTTTGACATATTTTATAAAATATTACCATCGCAAAACCCTCCATGGATGCATCAAACACTCCACCGACGTTTAAACAAAATTCCTTGATTCCTATTTGCAACAGGAATAATACCATTTTCTGTATATGTAAAGGAGTTTTGTACCATTGAACGTTGTATCTACGAAATTAAACATGAATTTCTAATTTAAGATACAAATTCTTTTATTAGTTTACTGCTTGGAACCAATATTTGCTGCAACATATAAACTTCTACACTTAATGTTAGAACTATGAAAGAAAAAATTTCTATTATATATTTTCTCTATTATGAGAACATTTCTTACGCAGTAGTGAAGACATGATTATTGTGGTCAATTATAATCTGTCCCATTAGGTTGGCTAAAAACATATATACGAAACATACTACCGCACATACAAATGGTATTACAAGGTTCTTGACATCATTTTTAGATGATGCTATCTGAAAAAGTGAAAAACATATTTTATGCAAATTACGTAGCTCCATAATGTGTACTTTCTTTCAATACATGTATATACATGTTAAACAAAAAATTTTCTTTATTTCTAAAACTAATACAATATCACAAATTACTTATACACATAAGAGACGAGGCTATGAAGCGCTGTACACAAATACAAATGAGAACATATTATTATATTTTAACACAGAGCTGAAAATGTTTCAAAATTTGGTTTACCTATTTGCACTATTGCTCATTAAGTTTATTAATAATAAATTTGTAAACTTGCATAAACATCAAATACCTGCAACAGTTCTGCATTTTTTATAATTGAGAACGTGTTTTACTCGTTACTTTTATTCCAATAATATTTAGTATCTAAAGTATTAAATTTGTCATCTGTATATTACATATAACAGCTTTAATTGCAGATTCATAATTATAATAAACATACCGCGGTTTACTTTTACCACGTTTGCTGAGCAATATTGCTAATAATTTCGGAACAATTTTCACATTTATGCGATATGACTTACTTGAAACAAGCTCAAGCTGAGGCTTAAGCAACCCACACAACATGCTATTAAACAAAACATCATCATCTCCAATACTGACATTAAGTGCTTGTTCAATCTTTAAAAACAAAAAATATTATTATAAGTATTGTGTGAGTATTGTCATCTTAGATACAAACTTCATAGCTTGTCGGTGAATGTCGACGGCAGAAATTGTTCCCTCGGTCATAATTTTATTCTCAAGGGTAATATTACTTCGAAAGTTGATATTTATTGCATGCTCGATACGATAACTGTAAATATTTGTGTTGTAATTATACAGCGATTCATTGAATGATACAATTTTTAAATAAAAACGCTATTGTTTAAAAGGATACTTAGTTACATATCATATATTATTAAGGTGATTTCCGTACTCGTATACCTAGCAATTCTAAACATTCCACAGGTATGCTGGATATAAGCAATGAACAGTGTACCACTTCCTACTGTTATAGTCGCCCCAATGCAAATAGCTACGTTAATGTGCAATATAATCATATAAAAATACTTTTCTTGATCAACGAAATACTCCATTGTAAAGAGAAAATTGTATGATTGAGACACATTCGTCGATAAATCAACATCAACCATATATATCCAAAATTGAAATATAACAACAAGAAATATTGAACAAGCTCCAAATGCTGAAAAATATTAGAAAGAAATTATTTAAATTACTTGTGTAATGTTATGACATTATTTAAATTTATATACATATAACTCTCGTACATTACGTAAAATGTAATCCTATTACGATACCGATAGCTAATTCGCTTTTTCATTTATTATATGTATGTTATAAATACATTTGCTATTTATTACAAATACATTTGCGTAACAAATACTTTAATAGATTTATATATGTAAATATGTATGACACAATCGTATGTAATCCAGAAAAATTGAATCTTTCAACCTCATAGCAACCTTACATATTATATTGATAATGTGATTCATAATTAATAAGAGTTATCTTACTTGTAAGTGTAACCGTATAACGTTTCGCGATGCAGTCATATTTTTTTATGATAGCAATTTCATTTTTATCCTTTAATTCGTTATGTACGTGCTGAAGCTGTATCAGTAAATCTTTCACCTGTTATTCCAGCAACTTTTGTATATACATCAAAAATTAAATGTTTGGATTTAAAAGTTCGCTAAGCGGACACGGTTATTCCGTTTAACGGATACTTTGAAAGCAATTGACTTACAGTTTCGATGTTGAAACGAAACACATTATACTTTATTATGAAAATGGCGAAGAAAAATGCGGAAGACAAAACCTTCATGACAAGTTCCAAAGTACAATTTAACGTTAGAAGTGTTGTGAGCTATCAATAAACAGTTTTGTTTAAAGTCATCCATACATTTGAATAGTTGTAATATATTTAATAAAAATATCGTTGTGCATATATGTATAATACAGAGCGAGACAGATAAAAATATAGTAAATACTTGTAATTTAATAGCTTACTAACATAATAATATAGTTTTATGCATTATTATATTTTTTTACCTGAAATACAATAAACGCTGTCAATATAGCAGAGATAAAAATATATTGAAATGTAGTGAAGTTGGATTGTTGATAAGGCCATAAGCCGATAGTGAGTAATAGAATTCTATTTACGCTAAAATACTGATCTTTGCGGATCATATCTTCATGAGATATAGAACACAAATGACTATGAAGAAGCCTATAATGTACGTTCAGCCCCCTTCCCCCGCCTGTTTTCTCCATCGATCGACTAGACGTTCTCTCTCTTTTAATGTAAGTGTTAATGCCAAATTATATAATGGGCCAAAAGATCGTTATGTCATTAGATACATACCTGTAACTTATAAACAGTTCTGCGAACTATGTCTATAATAAAGCTATCCACCTGACATCCGAGAAAATTCATTGAATGATTCTTTTACATTAAAAAGAAAGTCTTTTGTGAGAAACGAAAAGTCACGCATGCGTATTCTCACTTTGTTTTATACTTCTACTTCAGTTTCGTATATGCATTCATAGGGTACACTTGCATATCTTCTCTGCCGAAGTAACAATCGCGATCTATAATTGTTTCGATGTTGAACTTACTTGATACAGTTCATAATTTAAAAGAGAGATTAGGTAAAATGAGTGAAATGAGACTATGTTCTTACACGATACTCTTAAACTTCAAATTGACTAACAAAATAAATATTTTTAGCAAACATTAATTGCATTAACTAATACATATATAATAATCGCTAATAAAATCAAGCGATATTGTAATTGTGCGACATTGTTCAATAACAATATGTTTTTACTTTTTTGTTGTCTCCCATATAATTATTTATGATTAAAAACTCTAAAAATTTAATTATTTATATAATTATTGGTATAAAGTAAATTGTGTAACCATAATGTGTTCATGCATTAGTTACAAATTGCGCGTAAGAGAATTATTATTTAAACGCAATGAAACATATTTAAATGTTTATATTTAAATTATACTATAGCTAGTATTAATGTTTAATTTCAGTACATTGCAAAAATTTGAAATACTAGTTTTGATGTAAATAACTTCAATTGTTTTCTATAGCAACAAAACATGTAACTATTATACTTTATATACACAAAAAATAAATTTATATATTTTCTAAACAAAAATACTATTATAAATAAGCTTAAACTTTTCTAAACGATCTCATAGTGTTATTTATTTCATTACCGTACAGAATATATGACAGTGAAATAAGATAATGAAGCCTTCACTAACTGCAATCATAAACACATTATCTTTTATTGAATCTCTTTGTAATATTATACGGCCAAAAATTCTATGTTATATTACCATAGCAAAAGTCTCTATGGATGCATCAAATAAACCACCGACATTTAAAGTAAATTCCTTGGTTCCTCTTTGCAACAAAAATAATATCATTTTCTGTATACATAAAGGAGTTTTATACCACTGAACATTATACCTATAAAAAAATATATGAATTGCTAACTTGAGATAACAATTTTTTTATTAATTTATTACTAGAAACTAAATTTTTTCTACTTCGCGTAAGATTTATATTTACTGTTACGGTTACTGAAAGAAGTATTATATCTGTATAATACTGTTTTCTATTATATGTGAATAGTTCTTACGCAGTAATAAATACGTGACTATTGTGGTCAATTACAAACTGTCCCATTAGGTTGGCTAAAAACATATATACGATACATATTGATGCAAATACAAATGGTATTAAGAGTTTCCTGACATCATTTTCAGATGATGCTATCTAAAAAATAAAAAATCAAGCTTCATAAGAATCATTAGGCTTCAAAACACACGTTGATTCATGAAATTTTACCCCTGTTTATGAAACACATTCTCGGGATTATTTCTTGCAAAATTTCTTTATAAACTTGTGGTCGATGTCCAATAGTTACATAGCAATAGAAGATTTTAATTTAATTTTGGTCGCTGCATCTAACACCATACCCAAAGCGTTACTTATACTATTCTACAGCGACAAAAATAATATAATTTTGTACAGGGTTAAGAAGTAACTCGTTACTTCCCAAGTTTAGATACTTTTATAAAGTAATTTTCCCAATCCTAATTTTGCATCTACTTGAAAATTGGTGAAAAGTGTTGTACAATACAAAAGTAAGGAATTAAAAAAGAAATTATAATCTTAAAATGCTGTTTACTTAAAAGATTAACACATTAAACAATATTTGTAACTTTTTCTCATCGAAGTTCTAAAAAAGTTTTTTTCCCAATCGTTCAAATTAGTGTAACTTTTTAATTATGAATCGGATTTGTATATTATGAATTCCGTTTATATATTAACATTTTTGCTCCAATCTTAGGAATAGCTATTTTAAGTGGTGGTAAAATTTCGTGAATTACCCTGAATACATTCATCAATGACTGCATAAGAAGTTTTCATCGTTCTTAGAACAAAGAAATATAAAGTGATTTATACAGATATGAAATATTGCTATGAAAAGCTGATTAAACACAAGTGCCAATGGGAATATATTTTATTTTAACATAATTGTAAAAGTTGTTTTACATACAATTACGTCTATTTACAATATTCCCCACCTATTGCTTATCCCTTTGTAGTCACTTCAATAGACTATCACAAATTGGTCACACGGGGTCAAAATGACCCCACTAACTTTAAATAACTTCAAATAGTTGCCATGTTTAAACTATTTGTTCCGAGTTAAAAAATTACTAAACATTATAAAATGTGGATCAAAACATCTTTTTTATCTTAATTTGAACATGCTTAAAAAAATACAAATGTAAAAATTCTCTTTCAATTTTTAACATTTTTGGACAAAATTTAAATGACGTACTCCAGAGATATGACGCTTTAAGAAAACAATTAGTACAATAATATGCGTTCTAAAATACTTTAAAATGACCTCACGTCCACTTTGGTCAGCTGCCACAGATAAAATGACGCTTTGCAACATGTACCTAGCGGTAAGTTCTATACGTAAAGTCGTAAAGAATAACCTAAACTATCTGTATAAAGGATGTCAGTGAATGTTTGGGACTTATTTTTTGTGTAGATAGAGCAGACCAAACTAAATCCCAAACATTCACTGACACCCTGTAGATGGCAGTTCAAGATCAATTTTCAAATAAGAATGTAGAAATACTCAGCCTTAAATTTTCGCTTTAGTCACATAGATCCCTAGTGATCACGAAGGGTTAAGTTTATCAATAAAAATTTAGTGTACTGACGCAAATATTATATACCCGCAACATTTCTTTGTTTTTACGATAGAGTATTACATAATTCGATGATATTAATAACTTACTTGAAACAAGTTGAGGCTTAAAGAAGCCACACCACATATTATTAAACAAAACATCATTACCTCTAATATTGACATGAAATGCTTGTTTAGTCTTCAAAAATAAACAAAATATTATTGTGAATATTGTATAAATATTGTCATTGTAGATACAAACTTCATAGCTTGTCGGTGAATATCAACAGCATACATTATGCCTTTAGTCATCAAAATCTTATGTTTTAGCGTAATATTTTGTTGAATAATAATATTTATTACATGCTCGATACGATAACTGTAAATGTTTAAATTGTAATTATACAACAATTTAACAAGACGATTTTTTAGTTAAAAGCATTATTACGCAAACATTTTTAATATATTGTTTAGAGTTATAAACTTCTAGTTATATGGACTTTTCAACTCAGTCTAATCCGCTCTATCCGTAAATAAGAGGTGAGGCGGGTATTACATAACACCCTGTATA